TATTAATTTTTTATTCTCACCTTTTCTATCTCAACAAGAAGTAATCACCAAAATAATGGGGAAGAAGAAATTCTTTGACAATAAAAAATATGCCACGTTCCAGCTCATGGCACGGGACACTTCTAACCCGAACCACTCATCTGGACCCTCTGGCTCGGGTCTTCATCCGGATCGACAACAATCCCTACACACCCAATACCTCCCTCAACAAGGAAGAGCAGAACGGCCATGTTTTAACGGACGACCCGAATTCGATTTTTGCCGATGCGTCTGAAGATTATGATGATGAGGCTGGAAACCCCGTCAATGGAGGGTTAGGTGACTACAAAAATGAAAGGACTATGGAGTTACTATTGGAAAATAATGGGTTGGAGAAGAAACAACAACAAAATTATAGAAACAAAATGAATAGAAATCACAAAATACGTCAAGAACGAATTTAAGGCTTGAACACGGGATCGTTGTCCTCAAACTATATTTGCCCCCTCTCGGGATTGAATGAGATGTTTAAGGGTTTTTACAAATGGTTTGTAGGATTATATCAACCCTTGTAAAGGATTTAACACCAAAGCACAAGTGCAATCCTCCAAACCTTTAAGAACACAAAGGAAGATCTTGAATATGAATGAATGTAAATCAATAGTTTGATTCAATATGGAATGATATATGGATCTCAAGATGTTTTTAATGATTCTAATAGTATTTGTATTGATCATTCATCACCTATTTATAGGTCTCAATCAATGCATCACGAAATGGTGCTAAAACAAGATGAAAAGTGACAACTTTTAGTTCAAAACGGCTCCCAAGTTTTAAATTGAAAAATCAGCTAACGGCTATTTTTTAACACTATGCGTACGCATAGTATAAACTGTGTGTACGCATAGTAGAAACAAAATTTAATTATGATTTTGCCAAAACATATCTCACGTACGCACAAAATTAAACATGTGCGTACGCATAGGCAAAAAATCAAATTTTGCATTTTTCAATTTCTTTTGATTCTACCAATTCCACAATTGAGCCCAACAATTAGTCCATTATCATTCGATTGATTTTGAAAAAATATTCAACAATCCCTCACTTGTTCAAAATCAATACGATCACATATTCAAAAAGACGACACTTATGCATAAGGATTAGATATCTTTCGATTTGAATCTAGTCATAGTGTAATTCAAACAAAGTAAAGTCAGAATTAGATGTAGCATGAAAGCTTTGAACCAATTATTCCTTGCGACAATGTCAATAAGAACACACATATAAGTATCACGTGTTTTCAAGTTCCTCAACTCGCTTAGCGCTTTTATGGCTTGCGCTCATCCTATTCGACAAACTTTTAAGAGAGAAACTCCAACTCTCTATTGAGGTGGCACCACCTCGAAGTTAGTTTAGGTGAAGTTCTTCTAGTACCTTTGTTACTTTTAGAGATACTTGTGTTTTAATACTGAACTTCATTAAGAGCTTTAAACTCAACCCTCACTTCAGTAACAACCAGCATTATTTAATTAGGATAGGGTCATTGCGAATTTAAATAATGTTGTAACTATCCACATATCGAATGACTTGTTGTTACCCTTTGAACTCGTGGATTATCTTTTGAGTAATGACAGGTAGGGTTACCGTCATTGGTGGACCTTTTTAATTAAGGAGTTTCAACCCCATCCTACTCGAAGTAGACGCCACTAAATCACTATTTAATGCTTTAGTTAAAAGATCCGCTAAATTCTCAATTAACCTTACATAATTTAGGAAAATTATTCCATCTTTGATCAATTTCCTTATGTAGTCATGTCTCAGACTCATATGTCTAGACTTTCTATTGTATACCTCGTTATATGCTTTTGTTAACGTGGCTTGACTATCATACATGATAGGTATTGAAAAGATGTTCTTCGATTCCAAAGGTATCTCATATAAGAGATCCTTAAGCCACTCAGCCTCTTTCCCAGTATCCGATAAAGCTACAAATTTAGATTCCATGGTCAAGTGTGTTATACGTGTTTGTTTCTTTGATTTCCAAGAAATAGCACCTCCTCCAAGAGTGAATACCCAACCTGAAGTGGATTTACTTTCACCCGTGCTAGATATCCAACTAGTATCGGTAAATCCTTTCAATATCGTCGGGAATTTAGTATATTGTAGGCCCTTGGTTTTCTTTAAGTATCCAAGAACTCTCGCAATAGCCTTCCAATGATCATTACTCGAATTGCTAGTAAACCTACTAAGTTTACTTATTGCATAAGCTATATCCGGTCTTGTGCATTGAACAGCATATATAAGACTCCCTATAGCACTTGTATATTCCAATTGAGCAATCGCCCTTCCATCATTCTTTATTAGTTTTGAACTTGGATCAATCGGGGTGCTACATTCCTTTATGTTCAAATGTTTGAACTTATTTATCACATTCTCAATATAATGTGATTGACTTAGATAGTAACCCCCACTAGTCTTTGTGACTTTGATACCTAAAATGGTATCCACTTATCCAAGATCCTTCATCTTGAATGTGAAAGAAAGAAACCTCTTTGTTTCTTCTATTCCGTCCATGTGATTACTCATAATCAACATGTCGTCAACATACAAGCATATAAATGTCACATAATCATCACAAACTTTAGAATATAAATATTTATCAACGCTATTATATTTAAACCCGAATGATATTATTTCTAAATCAAACTTCTCATGCCATTTCTTTGGTGCTTGCTTCAGACCATATAAAGATTTCACAAACTTGCATACTTTATGTTCATTTCTAGGTAGGGCAAACCCTTCGGGTTGTTCCATATAGACCTCCTCATCGAGATCTCCGTTTAGGAATGCCGTCTTGACATCCATTTGATGAACATGCAAGTCATATACTGAAGCCAAAGCGAATAATATTCTAATCGATGTTATTCTAGCTACTGGTGCATAAGTATCAAAATAGTCGATTCCTTTCTTTTGTTGATATTCTTTGGCTAATAATCTAGCCTTGAAGGTATTTAAGGATCCATCAACATTGTATTTTCTCCTAAATACCCATTTGCATCCAATAGGCTTGGATCCCAGTGGTAAATCAACAAGTTCGCAAGTATTATTGGACATTATCGAATCCATTTCGTCCTTAATTGCATCTTTCCAAAATGTGCTATCACGAGAAGCCATAGCTTCTTTATAAGTCTTAGGGTCGATTTCTACTTGTAGAACAAAAGGAATTGTTCTCACAACATTCAACTCATTTCCCTCTACTAAGTAAAAGGAGATAAGTTGAGAATCGATTTCATTCGATCCCAAAGACTTCTCAACTCGAATTCTCTTATTTCTTCGTGGTTCACTAAATTCATCAACATCCTTAGAAGATATTTCATCATGTGTTTCACTTGAGCTAGGGATATTTTCAAGATTTTCTCTCAATTCATTATCCGAAGATAACGAATCTTCAAAGAACTCCACATTATTGGATTCGATAATCACATTAGACTCCAAATTTAGTAATCTATAAGATTTGCTATTGTTTGCATATCCAACAAAGGCACATTTAATAACTCTTGGACCCAATTTGGTCCTATTAGGATTCGTGTTCTTGCAATAGGCAAGACACCCCCACACTTTGAATTATCCAATGTTCGATTTTCTTCCTTTCTACAATTCATAAGGAGAAATCTTAGTATATTTTGAAGGAATCCTATTAAGTATTTTACATGCACTTAATAAAGTTTCACCTCACAAGTTAAATGGCAACTTAGCACGAATAAGATTGGCATTTATCATTTCTACAAATGTTCTATTTTTTCTTTCAGCCAAGCCGTTTTGTTCGGGTGTCCTAGGTGCTGAACATTGATGAATAATTTCATGTTGTTCACAAAACAAATTAAAATCATTGGAAAAGTATTCACCACCTCTATCTCTCCTTAAAATTTTAATTTTCTTTCCTAGATAATTTTCAACCTCATTCTTGTATGTTTTAAACATGTCAAAAGTTTCACTTTTATATTTTATCAAATAAACATAAGTATATCTAGAAAAGTTATCTATAAAAGTTATAAAATATTTATTTTCACATCTAGTTAACATACCATTAAGTTCACATATATCAGTATGAATTAATTCTAAAATACTAGAGGTTCTCTTAACACTTTGATATGATTTTTTAATCATTTTAGATTCTACACATATTTTACAGTTATTTTCATCATATGAGATCAAGTCATATTTTTTCATGCGTTTCATTGTATTTCTACCAACATGACCTAATCTAACATGTCATAATGAAAATAAATTCACAACATAAGCAAAATTACTTTTATTCATTTCATTGTCAACGGTACATAATTTGACCATTCATTCACACGAATAGTCTTTTCCAACAAATTCTTCATTAAGGGAGAGTTCAAATTTGCCAGACTCATAAACACATTTGATACCTGGTTTTCCAAAAGATCGCCACTAACTAGGTTCCTATTCATATTCGGAGCATGTAGTACATTAGTTAGAGTAACGATTTTTCCAAAAGTGAAGATAATGTCTACACTTCCTTTTCCAAACACCTTAGACCGCATCTCATTACCCATTTGAATCTCTTGTTCTCCATCCACTTCTTGATAAATTTTGAACAAAGATTTATCATATGATACATGTACCGTAACACAAGTATCATACCACCACCCGAGAACATTTCCTTTGATTGCGTTTACTTCACTTATGGTGACCACAATTTTGTCATCTTGGATGGATTTCACTTTGGCCTCAAAGTTGTTTTGTTTTCGGTGCCTACAATCCTTGGCATAGTGACCAGATTTTTCACACACAAAAAAACCTCATTTTGTCTTCTTTTTGGACTTATTAAAGTTCCTAGAAGGCTTCATTTTGTTGAATTTTGCCGACGGTTCTATTTTTTTCACAGTATTTGCTTTAGAAGAGCCCTCATGAGATTTTTCAATTTTACGTATTCTCGACTCCTCTTCGATTTGAAGATGCTTTTGCAATTATTCCAAAGAATAATCTTCAGAACTATGCATGATCTTCTTCCAGTATCCTTTCCAATTTTCGGGAAGTTTGGCAATTATAGCCCCCACTTGAAAGGTCTCCGGTACATCAATTTTCACCGCCTTTAATTTGTTGACAATTACTTGCAACTCATGCACTTGGGGAAGAAGAGGGATATTTTCTAAGAATTCAAAATCAAAATACTTAGAAATCAAAAATCTCTTTGTACCTTCTTCTTCCGCCTTGTACTTACTTTCCAATGCTTCCCAGATTTCTTTCGCCGAAGTTGTATTGGTGTATAAATCATACAAACGATCTGACAATGCATTCAAGATGTGGCCATGGCAAATCAATTCTTATTCTTGACGTTTTTGTCTCTCAGTCTTGATTGCTTCAGATTCTCCATTCGTTGGTTCCGGCAAAGGCGCCAAATTTGGATCAAGAGTATAAAAAATCTTCAACACCGTTCGGAGGAATTTCAACTTGTCTTGCCACCGCGTGAGCTAGTCCCGTCAAAACAATCCAATCTAACCAGATCTTGATTCATAAGTTTGATGGCTGCCATAGTTGTATTATTCTCCATCGCAGGATATAGTTTGAGATTGTTGAAAAATAAGGGGTTGGAGAAGAAACAACAACAAAATTATAGAAACAAAATGAATAGAAATCACGAAATACGTCAAGAACGAATTTGAGGCTTGAACATGGGATCGTTGTCCTCAAACTATATTTGCCCCCTCTCGGGATTGAATGAGATGCTTAAGAGTTTTGGGAATCGGTTTGTAGGAATATATCAACCCTTGTAAAGGATTTAACATCAAAGCACAAGTGCAATCCTCCAAAACTTTAAGAACACAAAGGAAGATCTTGAATATGAATGTAAATCAATAGTTTGATTCAATATGGAATGATATATGGATCTCAAGATATTTTCAATGATTCTAATAATGTTTATATTGATCATTCATCACCTATTTATAGGTCTCAATCAATGCATCACGAAATGGTGCTAAAACAAGATGAAAAGTGGCAACTTTTAGTCCAAAACGGCTCTCAAGTTTCAAATTGAAAAATCAGCTAACGGCTATTTTTTAACACTATGCGTACGCATAGTAGAAATAAAATTTAATTCTGATTTTGTCAAAACACATCTCGCGTACTCACAAAATTAAGCCTGTGTGTACGCATAGGCAAAAAATCAAATTTTGCATTTTTCAATTTCTTTTGATTCTACCAATTTCACAATTGAGCCCAACAATTAGTTCATTATCATTCCATTGATTTTGAACAAATATTCAAGAGTTACCGGACCAAGTGAGGAGGGAGATTCTGGAGCTAGGATTTCCGGATGATGGGTACAATTACTTTTTACACATGCGGGAGATTAAAAATACCGGCAGTGGCTCTTCATATTATCATAATCCGAAAGCGAATCTCAATGAGCTTCCGCGAGATGTTAAGGTCTGATTGTTTCATTGTTTTGATAATTCGTGATATTTAGTGAAGTTTGAATATTGTATTAAACAGTAATGTGGTAAAATTAGCTTAATTTATTTTTCAGTTTTGCCTTTTGAATTAGCTTAATTTATTAATCAGTATTGGAATTAGTTCTTCGTTTCCTTCCCATCTTGGATGGAAAGTCGTTATATCAGTGATGATTAATTGAGCTATAATTATGTATTTGAAATTGCTTAGACTTTTAATTTAATTTCAGATGTCGTTGTAAATCTATACATTATTCCTGGTAGGCCTATGATGCTTCAAGAGTGGAAGTTTGTAGGGTGAATAATGATTCCGATAAGAAGTTACTGTATAATGTTGCATCGAGGACTGTTGGGGCAAGATTACAGAAAGTGGTGGATCCTGAAGTGGCTGCAATGCTGGATGACAGTGATTCATCGAAATTTGGATCCGATGTGGAGGACCTGGAAGAGGATTTCATCATGAGAGCAAATTTCGTGGAATGTCCACTTGATTTTCTACTCGATAAGCAGTTGAGTTTGATAGGAGGGTCCAAGGTTGGCCATATAGGAAATGGTGATTTGCATGCATCTGGTGCACCAGAAAATGAGGCTGAATTTTCAGGCTTGGGTAGTGAGAAGCCTAGAGCTCATTGTCTTTTAGATGAGCGATTTGACTTGGTAAGTTTTTATTTATTTATTTATTTTTTTACTATTTGTTAGTGTTATTGGGTTGCTGTTTTTATCAGTGTGATGGTTTAGCCCAACTTACCTGACCCGGTTCAAGCCCAACAGTGAGAAGGATCTGGAATTAGTTGTTAAATGATAAAAGCGTGTTTTGTGAATTGAAATAGCAACTTACTCCTGATCTGTGACACGTGGTGCAATGTGGACCGTTGGATCTGATTTGCGTGAATCAATTATTATTGTTACTAGGGTTTGAGAGATGGTGCAACACACTTTTCAATTTTTCTCTCTCTCTCACAGCCGTCTCCTTTACCCTTCGTGTTCTCTCTGTAATTTGTAGATTTTCTCTTGTGATCTGTTTGTAGATCTTTGAGTGAGAGTTAATTTTTGAACTCTTGTGTGAGTTCGGTTATGTACTGAGAGATTTGTGGTGCTGTGATTGGAACTTTGTGTTCCTGTGTGTTCTTGACACATTTGCTGTATTTGGCCGTTTGATTTAGTGGATTCGAGCTTATTCCCTTGTGGATGCTCAACGGGGATTAGGCGATCTAACCAATCGCTGAACCTCGGGGCTTCGGCCGAAAAATCGTTCTGTGTTCTTACTGCTTTAAGTTCAGATTTACATTTTTGATCTTAGTCCTTTGCGATTTTTTTGTTGTTTCGAAAACGATCCTTGTTCCTACACTATTATCAATAATTAATCAAATAATTCTTCCCAAGGCACATGCTTCCTCTGCTTGTACTGCTTTGATGAACTCACTATGGCTATTCATCATCGAACTCAGAGTTTTCTACTGCATAGGCAGCTAAAGGAAGCCCCAGTCTTGGTCTAATTGTAACATCCTCAAACTATTAATTCGAGCCTGCAGCTCATGCTCATTTTACTGTTGGTATTTTGCCATTTGATAAATAACTTCTGAGTCTCTTTCACAACGTTATTCTTGCAGCTAGAAATTCAGGAATACGGCACTGACCCTGAAGAAGAATACAGTGGTTACACAGATGAAGAAAATGAATGTCAAGAATCCCTTGCAGAAAAGATCGGTCATGCCTTTAGAGACTGTCCTATAGAAGGTTTGGCTCTTGAGGAAGCAGAAGATATTGAATCGGCTCTTGAGGAAGCAGAAGATATTGAATCTCCAGAGGCTGCTGCAGACGTGATCCGCCAGTGCAAGGAGTATGCTGTAAAGTATGAAAATGAGAACCCGGATCAAGAGGCTGCGCTTGTGGAGGGAAGTAGCGGGGAATCAGAAAAATGGGACTGTGAAACTATTGTCTCTACACATTCAAATCTTCACAACCACCCTGCTAAAATTGAAGCTCCCGGAGGAAGGAGGAAGAAGAAATTAGCCGAAACCATATCTGGAGCTCAAGGTGCAGTCAGCCAAATGATAGTCCTACAGGGAAGAGAAAAGCTTCCTGTGGACTTTTTACCCCAAAGAGAGAAGCATGATGCAGAAAAGGTGAAAGATAAGAAAGATCCAAATAATTCAAGAACAGAACAGCTGAAGAGTAGATCGCGCAGTCTAGAGAGTAAGGAGGAAAAGAAAGAAAGAAAGAAAGGTGGAGAATGATGTTTCTTTTGTCATACTATTTTACCTGTCTACTAATAAATATTGAATGTTTGATACAGTTGGACCATTTTGGATTATTTTTGCACTATCCTATTCACACTTTACCTTCTGTAACTTCTCTTTTCTTGTGATGGTGATCATGAACCAGAAATCTAAAATGACGTCCTTCTCTCTTGTTTGAAAAAATGTTTGTTTTATTCTTTCAGCTGTCGAAGGCTTGTGTGTCTCTTCTTTTTCTTTTCTTCCTTCTTTTTCCTGACGGAGGGTGGAAGGGTGGGGGCTTATTTCCATTTTTCATCTCTTTAGGGATAATCCCTGCTGGTCATGTATAAGCCATAAATTATGACGATATGTGGACTATTCTTTTGCAGAGTGCTGTGAAAGCAGAACGACGTGAGTCACGGCAAATGAAAAAAGATATGAAGGGGCTCTACAAGTCTGAGGGCCAGCGTGCTCAAAAAGTTGCAGCTTTCACTGGTCCATCATCAATTCATCTTGTGCAAGTATATCTTGTACTTGAATTTCTGAATTAGAATTGCTTTTGTGATGACTAAGTGTTTGTTTTAATATACATATATTCTGTTGACAATACTGAAAGCCATGTAAATTTCTGCATACTATTCACTTTTGTTTATGATACAACGTGTTTAGCTTTGGGCAGTGACTAAATTAACATAAGGTGTCTGGCTGGATGTCTTTTTTCTCCTAACAAATGAATCTTGAAATTATTTTTATTTGCTTTACGCATTCTGCCCTTCGGAAATTATAGTTTGATGGCCATTGTGCTCTTACGTGATCACATTCAATCAGATTAGTCTCTGGCAATTTTTCTCGCCTCGAAGTACAAATAATTTATTCTCTTCAGCTTTGTCCATTATAAGTAAGTGACAATTACCAAGAGACCTCCATTTATATATCTCTCCTACGCTTTTTTGCAACTAAAGCAAAAACGACTTTGTAAGCTTATCCATAATGACAACAAAAGATTTTAGTTAAAAAGAGAATCATTCCCTGATTTACAAGTAAAACAAAAAAATGATACAGACAGAAGAGGAAAGGAGAAAAATAAAATAAAATAAAATTCTCTCACCCCCAAACTGCCTTCCAATTTGGGGGTGGCAAGTAGAGAGACATCAAGTATCCCTAATGGTATGAAAGGAGAGGGTGGGTGGAACCAGAGGGGGGCCAGCTGGATGTGTAGGATTTGCTCTTTTCTTTTCTTTTTTTGTATCTATTTTTTTTATCATTGAAATTAAGATTTTTATTTTTAACCATTTACCTCTCAAACAGTGTTCCATGTGCATTCCATGTCATGTGACCTTTTAAATGTTGAAGTTAGAAATTGTCAGTGAGGACCCAAGTGCTAAGAAAAATTGGTTGGGGATCCAAGTGTACAGTTATATTAGGTTTGGGATCCCAGCTGATATCTTTCTTTTAGTATTTTTGCTCAATCTTTTCTGTATTATATCCTCAGGTAACATGCTTGCAGCTGTTGTCAAGACAATATGATGTTTGGCCTTAGACATCTCTGACAGTGTTTATAACGAAAGTCTTGTTTCAGCAGAAGTATTTATCGGTTTTCTGTGTGAGATTAGAATGTACAAGCTGCTCTTTTGAGGACCTTATCCTTCAAGCGCGATACACTGGCCGAAAGGTGTCTGGCAATATGTGGGAGGGTTTTTGGTTGAGCTGCACAGGTTTTAATTGGTAGTATACATTTTCCAGCAGACTTGTTCCAAATTTGAGTGTGTTTGAGCCACATTATTTGAAATGATATATTTTTAAATAGTAGATTGATGGAGAATGTGTGATTAAAAAATGAGGAAAAATTTTGGATTAACGTGTAATATTATTTTATTGAAGAATGTGCAGTTGAAATGATGTCAAATTATTGTTTAAAAATGTATTTATTTTTTATTTTTGAAAGAATGAGATCATTGTAACAACTTTAAATCTCATCTACAAAAATATTTAACTCTGTACTTAAAACCAGCTGATTCTTGATTCATCAGGTTCACATATAAATACATAATGGAAGGATTATTTTGCTCTTTTTAATTTTTGATTTGTTGGTTGACTAATGGAAAAATGGATAAAATTCTTCCATTTATAATGCTATCTATTTTTCAAAGGTTTGGGGGAAGTAGCCAGGAAAAAATGGTTAACTAAAGTTTGAAGATGTTGCTATTTAGCCCCTTTTTTTAATTACTTTTTTCATTTATAACACTATAGATAATTAGACAATTGTTAAATTGCTACTTTATTTTTCGATAATTTTTTAGACAATTGTTAACTTGCTACTTTATTTTTCGATAATTTTTCATTGTTAGTATTTAAGTTTCATATTTTTATTATATTTTTTAAAGAATTCTATAGGTAAATTTAATTTATTAAAATATTTATTTTTTAATATTACAAAAAAAAAATCCTTTTTTAAATTCTGTAAGAATTCAATTTTTTACAAGGTATTCTACTTCTGTACACAACAGTCAATACCCACGTCCATTTACACCTGATTCTTTGCAAATTCCTCTCTTCAAAATATACTTTAAAAAAAAAAAAAATAATAATAATAATAATAATAAATCCTTTATTGTCGGTCATTTTCTAGCCAAATTAAGGCCTCTCATTTATTTTCTTTTTCTTGCATAAATCATTTTAAAAATGTTTGTTCATCCTCATGCAAATTAATTAATTTTAAACTAGTACAGGTGATTTTAAATTAAACAAGAATCATAAAAGATGTTTGCTCCATGTTTGTAGGACAAAGAGTGGACAATTTTCACATAGGTAGATTCTTGAAGCAAAGGGAGGGTTTCCCATGATTTTAGCTTTTACCCTTAATTTCTCTCTTCCATGCATAACCTCCCTCTTTCTCTCTCTATTACTTTCTCACTCCTCCCTCTCCTTGGACATATTATTCTTTGTGGGTTTTCCTCAATACAATACAGAGTTCTTAATAAGGTAAATCAATTTGCGCATCTTTTCAATACTGATTTAAGTTGCCTCTTGTGTATATTTGAAGCTTATGATTTCACATAATCTTAATCTGAGGTTTGGGAGTTCAATTTGCATGTTTTCCAGGATCAACTTTGCATAGTTTGGACATTGTCTTTTGAGTCATTAAATCTGCATGTTAAATTCAAGATTTTCTTTTGCACGCTGAATTTTCTTTTAGAGTTATGATAGTATTGATTCATGCGCATGTATATGTATTTCTGCATTTACAAAACCAATTGTGCTTTCGTTATCAATGAAAGGCTAATAACGAGTTTGGAACGTTGGACTAGATAACATTGTCCATACTAGAGAAATAAAATGAAGATAAAATTTCTTATCTGATGAAGTGAAGTTAAACCATTGGCATATAATTATATAAACAATGTTATTTGTTGCAGATAAAGAAGACCTGCATGGGCTTTGATTAAACCATTGGCATATAAAGAATTCACAGAAAAGAGGAAGTTTTTCCCTCTCTTTAATCACAAAGAGAGGGAACAT